CTGCGACAGTACGCCTCCTATGGCATAACCACTAGCATCTGTATCCAAAATAAACGTTGCACCTGGAACGGGATACGCTAGCATAGGTGCAGTACATAGTCGTTCCTTCAGAGTCTGGAAAGCCTCCTCCTGCTCCTTGTTCCACTCGAAGGCTCTATTTTTCCTAGTGAGCTCGTGGAGGCTATTAGCAACGCTGGCGAAATTCGGAGCAAATCGGCGGTAGTAGGTGCATAGCCCAAGAAAACTTCGTAGTTCGTGCAGGTTGGTACGGGTTACTGTTCGCCGCACAAAATATAAATACTTTATTCTTCAGCATATAGCGCACCCGGTAGCATGTCAGAAATTTCACCATCTCATATTTTTCTAGAGTGTACTGCAACTGCATGGAAGGTCTGCCATTTTGCGATAGCTGTGTTCCTTGCGGACAGTGTCGCTGACTGTCACTAGTTCCAGCAGGTCTGTTCGTCTTTTTTTTTTAATAAACACTTTCCCGCGGACAGCTACGTTTTCCTTAGTACTAAAGGCTGGTTTTTATTAGGTCAGAATCACTGACGCCAAAAACACTGCCTTCATCTGACAGCTGTTCATTTGATGTTAAATGCGTTTTCATTACCGCAGTGCATGTCAAAGACTGTCGTCAACTTTCAGTGTCAGATGATTGACGTTCCGTTTTCATTACTGACGTCAAATGTGAGGTTAATTTTTACAAAAAGTGTAGAATACCGACCTTTTAGCTGTAGAAAAACCAGGGGTGTAATTTGGTTGAGCTCTTCATGCTGATTTTAACCTTACCAAGGTTGTTTGGCGCGGGTGAGAAATTGAGGGGATATACGAGGTTAAGTTAAATTTTTTCGATACTTTGAATTATCATTCAGTTGATGTACATAATTTTCCTGATTTTTTTTATATTTTCAAGTCAGAAATACAAAGATACAAAAAAAAATTAAATCTTTTTTTAATAAATTACCTTTTGAAAAAAAATTGCATAATTAATGCTACAGAAATTTATATTATTTAGAAAGTACAACTTATCACCTTATATAGAAAGGTTTGTTATAGCGCAAAATTTAACGAACGTAGTGGTAAAAATCGAAATTGTATACATATATTTTTTTTAATAGCGTTTACCAAAAATTTGTTTTCAAAATGGTTAGTAGTAAAAAAAAAGCTATGAGAATTATATTTGAATTGGCATCAATACTTTTCTAATCGGTCAAGTAGCTTCCGAGATATTAAATATTGAGAACTAGGAAAGTTGAAGTTTAACCGGTTATATTTTCTTGGGTTTTTGCTTGCCCAGATAATTTGGGCACGGCAACCCCGGATTTTTATTTTTTTGATATTCCTCCTTACACTGCGGCAAATTCCATTTGGAAGAGTAACGGAACTAGTCCAAATGACGCAGTGCCCGTTATTCTTCCAAATGGAATATTCCCGCAGTGCAAGGGTATATAAAACCCGCTGGAAACTCCGCTGCCAACCAATTTACATTCTAGAATTGACAGCGGGCGAAAAGGTAGTGCTGAATGTGACAAAGTTTTGATTTAATAAAAAAAAAGGAAGTTACCATAAGACGGTGAAGTGAGTGAAAAAAAAGATTTGGAGTGAACAATTAACAGTGTTCGCGTTAAAATAGCGCAAGTGGGGTTTAAGGTGGACTCCAGGTGTACAAAGCAACTGCTAGGATCCGTATGGTACGCGATTGGGTGCTCCAACAGCAACACATCCCATTGAGAGCAACCGCCGGCTACATTTCTTAGTTTTCTTATAATTATTAAGTACCTTGCTTATACGAGGCATTAATAAAATGTATAAACAAGGTAAAAGGTGCGTATTCATGGTCAAATTGCTAAATCGAAACTAATAAAGTGCAGCTTCTATCTGACTCAGTTTAACGAAATGGCAAAACGAGTGTG